ATACTCCTGCCTCAGCCTCCCGAGTGCTGGGATTACAGGCATGTGCCACCACGCCCAGCTAGATCAATCTTAAAAAGAGTAACAGAGGGCCAGGGATATAGCTCAGCAGCACAGCACCTGCCTGGCAAGCATGAGGCCATGAATTCAATTTCCATACCAAAAAAAAAAAGAAAAAAAAATGAGTTGTAACAGAACTGGATGTGGTGGTACACAACTGTAATCCAAGTACTTGGGAGGCTGAGGCAGGAGGATTGCTGAGTTTGAGGCCAACCTGGGTTACATAAGCGAGTTCAAGGCCAGCCTGCACTACATAGGGAGACCCCGCTCAAAAAACAAAACAATAAACAAAAAAAGAGTAAAGAATGGAAAAATCACATGTTCCAACTTCAGAACTTACTACAAAATCATAATAAATAAAAGTGTTATGGTGGTCTAAGGATACATACATAGATCCTTGGAAGACAGAGTCCAGAAATATTTACTTATACAAAAAATTTATCTTCAATAAATTACCAATATAGTCCAATGGGCAAAAAGAACAGCTTTTTTTAAACAAATTGTTCTGGGACAAGTGAATAACCACATGGAAAAAATTGACGTTGGTCTACCTACTTCACACCAAATACAAAAGTCAACTTAAAATGGATTAAATACTTAAATGAGGAAATGGAAGGATTTATTTTGAGGGCAATAAAAATGTTCTAAAACTGACTGTGGTAAAAATGCACAGTTCTATGAATGTATGAATCGCTGAATTATATACTTCAAAGCAGGTGAATGTGTGAATTATATCTCAATGTTTGCAGAAAGGGAGCAAAAGCCAGACGCACTGGAGTATGAGGTAGTTCCAACTACTTGGGAGGTTAAAGCAAAGGGGTCACTTGAGCAAAGGAGCGTGAAGCCAACCTAGCAATACAGTGAGACCCTGCCTCAGAAAAGAAAAAGAAGTCAAGTGTGACATGCCTATAATCCTAGTAGTCTTCGGGGTCTGGGATATAGCTCAGTGGTACAGGCGACTGCCTGGCAAGCAGAGAGTCCTGAGTTTGATTCCTGGTACCAATCTATGGCCATCCCACCCTGAACAAGCCCAATCTCATCTGATTCCCAGTACCAAACAAATTGTAAAAAAAAAAAAAAAAAATCCTAGTAGTCTGGGAGGCTGAGAGAGGAGGATTTCAAATTCCAACCCTGCCTGGGCAATTTAGCAAAACCCTATCTTAAAATAAAAAGAAGGGCTGGGCTTGTAATTCAGTGAAATCTTGGGTTTAATCTAAAAAGAGAGAGAGAGATTATACAACTAGGAGGCTGAGGCAAGATTGTCTGAATCCCGCCTGGGCAATTTAACAAGATCCTGCCAAAAATAAAATGTCTGGAGGTGTAGCTCACTGTGAAGGCCCTGGGTTCAATTCCCAGGACTGGCAAAAAAAAAAAAAAAAAAAAAAAAAAAAAAAAGGTAGATAAATACTACTACCCAATTTCTAGAACCAACTTACAGTAACTAAGTCAAACAAAAGTAGGACTGGTTAAAGAACAAACAAGTGGACCAAGGGAGCAGAACAGACCTCTAAAATACAGCCAACTAGTCTTTGACAATGGAGCAAAGGCAACTCAGTGGATAAAGGATATTCTTTCCAACCATATGGGTGGGGTAAGGTTTTCTTTCTTTTCTGGCAGTGCTGGGGAATGCACCCATGGTCTTCACCCCGAGCTATGATCCCATTCATTCATTCGTTCATTCAGACACAAGGCCTTGCTACATCACTAAATTGCCCAGACTGGGCTCTAACTTATGATTCTCCTGCCTCAGCCTCCAAAGCTGTTGGGATTACAGGTGTGTACTACCACGCATGGCTATACAAATGAGATTTTTGACAGAATTCACACCTTCATAAAAAATAACTGAAAGTTACTATAAACCTAAGTGGAGATCACAAAATTTAAAAGTTTACAAAAAAACAAAAACAAAAACAAGAGAACACAGAAGTGATCTTGGATTTGGCAGTGAATTTTTATTTTTTTGCCATGCTCTGGGGATTGAATCCAGGGCCTAGTGAATGCTAGGCAAGTACTTTACTACTGAGCTACACTCTCAGCCTTGAGTCTTTAGATAGAAGGCCTAAAACAGGATTCATGAAAAGTAAAATTGATAAGCTATACTTTATTAAAAACTTTTTCAAAAGGCACTACTAGAGAATGGAAAAATAAGCACCAAGGACAAGTAAGAAAATATTTGTGAAACATATACCTGGTAAAGGACTTGTATCTAAAATATGCAAAGGAGGTGAGGGAGAGAGGAGAGCCAGTGTGAGCACAGGCCCGTAGCCCCAGTTAGGTGGAAGGTTGTGCAAGGGTTGTGGCAGCCTGGGCTCGGAAGGCAGCTTGGGCAACACAGTGAGACTGCAGGTTAAAAAAAAATCCAAAATCCCCAAAACCCAAAATAAAAGAGAAAAAAAAGGAAGAAAGAGAACAAAACATACAAAAATCTCTTAAAACTCAGTAAATTAAAACATGGCCAAAGACCTGAACAGTTACAGCACCAAAACAATACTAGAGATGGTGATCAGCATCAGCACATGGGAGGATGCTCAATTTGAGATGCCCTGAGGAACCGCGAATGAAAACGGCACTTGCTGGACAAAGTCAGTGCACCACCTGACACCAGACACCAGTGTGCACCGGTGGGCAGGCGGAGCTGCAGACATTCTCCTTCACTGGGGATGACAAGCCTGCTCTAAAAGACAACTGGGCAGCTTCTCACCAAGCCAAGCAGTTTCTCTCAGGATCCAGAAATCACAATTTAAGATTAACTTAGCTTAAGATCTCCACACAAAAACTTGCACAAAAATGTTTAGTTTTATTTATAACAGCCCCAAACTGGAAGCAAACAAGATACCCTTCAATAGAAAAAAATAGATAAACCAAGTGCTGCACAAAGTAGAATGCACAGACTACCTCTCAGGCATAAAACAAACAGAAACAAAAGAAACCAACCTTTATGGACATATACAACAAATGGGTAAAAATCAGAATATGTTCTACAAAAAAGCCAGACACAAATAATTAAATCTATTCATCTGAAGGTGCAGTCCAGGATGGCCAAGAACTTGTGTCTCCTTCCTCAGACTGGAGTGCTGGGGTTACAGACATGCCCAAACTAAGAATATCTTTTTAAATTATTCATTTAACCACTTGCTGGGTTGGACTACATGATCTTCAAGTAACTTTTCAACCACCCAAATGTGGGACTTTGTTGTTATTACTGGAAGTCTGTTGGCATTTTCTACTTAATAATCTTTTTAAATATCCAGGATTCAAAAGTAGCATGAGAAGGTTTCTAGGCCAGGCAGATGGATTAAAACTTGTTTCCAGATCTGTTGCCTTGATTTTCCATTGTAAATATCAGAATCCGAATCTTATCACAAATATATTGCAACTCTTTTTTTTTTTTTTCGGTTTTTCTCCGGTACCGGGAACGGAACTCACGACCTTGCGCTTGCCAGGCAGGCGCTTCGCCGCTGAGCTAAATCCCCAGCCCCTGCAACTCTCATCTTTAAGTATGTGAATGACATTTTTGTGGAGCCCATTTCTGGACTCTCAGCACTCCCTCCTGGCCACAAATCCCTGGGGTAAATAAATTTAATACATTACCACCAACTGAGAAGTTGTGTAGAAGCACGTGTCTCCACAAATAATATAAATGCATAAAATTTTATCTGGAATATTCCAACTGCTAATAACCCAGTGTTTCTCCAGGTGGGGAAGCAACTTGTGGAATATCCACTGGCAAAATTCTGTTGTGTAGCTGGGTGTGGTGGCGCATGCCTGAAATCCCAGCACCTGGGGGGCTCAAGCAGGAGGATTGTTGAGACCAGCCTGGGCTACAAAGTGAGCTCAAAGCCAACCTGAACTGCACAGTGAAACCCTGTCTCAAAAACAAACAAAAAGCCATTATCTTCACAAAGATTCATCCTGTTTCTCCCAATTTTTCTGGCAGTGTTGGGGATGGAACCCAGGGCTTTGTGTATTCTAGGCAAGCAATTGACTAGGCTCCATGCTCAGCTCTCTCCCAACTTCAGACTGTAGTCTTCACAGGTGAGGGAAACCATCATCTTAGCCTGCAATCTTATGCATCCTTTGAGAAGGTTAATTCTGCTTAAACAGTGACAATAATTCTCAAGAATGCATCTGTAACACAGGGTCCCAAATACCTGCCCTTGTCCCACACTAGCCAGCAGACCACACGGGAACAGATGAGACTGGGCAATGGGCCACAATCCCAGCAGGGGCACTGTGCTGGTGCCTGGAGACAATGGCTAGTATCTTTTTAGGTCAGCTCCATGTTACAACAACGCACTTCAGTGATGCAGCCTTGACCAGCTCCTAAGTTCTCTTGTCCCTCAGCTACACAGGCTCCTAAAGACCAACATCTGCCCTGCTTTCTCCCGAGCCCACTCTAATGCAGGCTCATCATTCCAATACAGCAGCAGGAGGGCTGACTCAGCGGGGGCTGTGGTGTGTGTCCTCCAGGCGGAAGTGGAACTGCCGTCTCAGCTCTGAGCAGGGAGCTGTAAACTGGTGCCTTAAGGAAGGAGAGTGGCTGGGTCTTGCTGCTAGAAGCAACAAGCTCTGACATAATGTGATGGGTGGTCTTGTGTCCACTGAAAGCAAACCTGGACTGCTTTATCTGACAGGTTGAGGGAACAGAGATTTATGAAGGGAATTCACCCACTTGAAGCTTCACCCTCTTACCGCAGCCTTTACAGCTACTGTAGCTTCAACAGTCTCCCAGTTTGACCAATTTCTATCAGCTGTGTACATAAGACAGCCAAGAACCAACACTGCACTGTGTAACATGTTCAAATTACATAAGCAGAGCTCAGTGTGGAATAACACAACTTTACCAGCACAGACCTAGTGATGTGTGAGAAACGACAGCAAGGTGAACACTTAGGTGACCTTTAGTACAGCTTGGACGTGCTTTAGAAAAGGAAGCACATTGCTCATGTACAAAACCTCTTTGAGTCCTTTATTAACGTCTGGAGATGTGTGGTACACACAATTAACAGCATCACACCAGTTACAGAAGTACAGAGAACCAGGAACGTACTTCAGAACAGGATCTCAGAGCAACATGTGGTGTTGCCTGCTCTGAACCTCCATATAAATCTAATTCTGACACACGCAGGACAGACAGTGTAACAACTTCACTTGGAAATGATTCTTTAAAAAAGCAACAAGAACCGATTGTTCAAACTCTTTAGTGTGCGATGTGGCAGCCTCTCTTGATGCTGTGGCACTACTGTAAAGGCCAACCTGGGCATTTGAAGGTTAGACAGAAGAGCTGACTGGGGCAAGAAGAGGCTTTCTTTTCAGTGTAGAGATAACAGATGGTTTGAGTGGACACTTTCAATCCAGGCTCACTGTGGGTCCTGCAGGAATCCACCAGACACAGTCTATAACCTGGGAGACTGAAAAATGCCAGGCAGCCGTTGGTGTCACTGCCATCAGGAGTCACTGATGATTTAGTAGGGTTGTGCCTAAAGGAGAAAAGGGGTTCACTGCGTTGAGTCAGCTCTGATCCGCTTGTGCCACTGAATGCCATGGGTCCCTCTGCTTTCACGCGTGAATGAAGGAACACTACTTTTATTTCAATGCTCCTTTGAAAAAAACCAAAGCCCTCCCCCACCCCCATCATCATTCTTCATAAATTGTTTCCAAATTCCTGATTCTTCTTGGTCTAGACTTTTTCCTTTCGCTTCAACTTCGACACTTTTTTGACAGTTCCATTCTTGTTTAGAAGCTTCAGGACACGATCTTTATGATCTAAAACCTTAAGCATGGAGTCTCTGGCCTCACTGATTTGATCCATCACCAGCTTGCACCTCTGCATGTTTCCCTGAAACAGAAGACATCACATCATCAGTGAGAAGGGCGTGACTCAGACAGAAATGCCCCCTTTGGGGAAAGGCATTTTAGTAAGGCTTTCAAAGAGTGCTTTCTGGTAATACAGGCTTTTGCCCCTCAGCGCTAAGAACTGAGTCCAGGGCCTCAACGTATGCTAGGCAAGCACTCCACCACTAAGCTGCATCCTTAGCCCCTTGAAAACTTTATTTTGAGACACGGTCTTCACTAAGTTGCCAGGGTGGCCTCAGACCTGTGCTCTGACTGGCTCAGCTGCCCAAACAGCTTGATTACGGGAGTGCGCCACTATGCCTGGCCATAACAGAGTGGGGAGGGAGGGGAATGCGAGAAGTAGGATTCTCTGGTAAATAACCTCAGAAGTATGTGATCAGGTGGGAAAGGGCTCATCAAACCTGTATTAGTTCATTTATTCGGTGCAGATCATCATCAGTTGCCGCTTTTTTCTTTGGGATTATTCCTTCCTGTAGGTTGGTAAGTCTTTCATAAACATCATGTTCCAGATTTGTCTGCAACACACAAGAGGGAGCATGTAGTGACTTGGAGATACTGTTTTATATCAACCTCAGGCAAAGGAACCCAGCTTGAGTTAATGTTGCCAACTACTGTAAGAATGTTTATGTGATAAAGTCTTTTCTCTAAAGGACTAAAGTATTAAGGTTAAGCAACAGTGATGGAAATAGATCAATAATGATTTGCATTTTATTATGACACTGTTCAGAGTCCATCTTCAAAGATAACTTTTAAATATTGCACTGAATTCACAATTCCTCTGAAAAACAACTGTCAGTTTTGAGAAACGTGATTTTTTTTTAAGTAAAAAGCCAAGGAATTTATTTTTCTAGCTACTGATAGCAGACCGTGTTTTTTGAGATCATTGCTACTCCAAATATGGGGAAAACTTCATGAGGTGCTGGTTTCATTGTATCCTCTCTTCACCCAGTGGGAGAAGGACAGAGTCCTATCCTAGGCTCATGAAAGTGGTTGAACATAGAGGATCTACCACTGGACAGATGAGACTGACAGCATTCACTGGTCAGATACATTACAGCCTAAGGGAGGATGTAGCAGGTCATGCAGGTCATAGGAGTTGCACTCAGGGCTGCAGTGAACAGTAGCAGCTGTGGGAAGCAGAGTTTGTAGTATCAAGAGGGAGGGGGTGCTCCCTGCTCCCCAAGGGGCTTAATCAGTATCAGAAGCTGGCAGAGAAATGAAGCTGACTGCTCAGTGCAAAGCAACTGTGCCTGGCTCCCATGGTGAGGAAGGCTGTTGGGTGAAAGGGCCTTATCGGAAGCAACAGAGTGGGGAGGAGGGAATTATGGGTAGGCCATTAATGGCTCCATTTCAGATGTTACTGAATACCAAATCTTAATTTTAGGCTTTCCACCGTAGCTGTCCCATACATTTTAGATTTAAGATTTAAATTATAATCACAAATAATTGATATAATAGTTTTAGACTTGGCGGGGGAATTTAGACTAGGAATCTAATGCAGGACCTTGTGCTTGCCAGGCAGGCACTTGTGCCCGCTGAGCTATATCCCAGCCCTGAGAGAGTAGTTTTGATACTATACAACAACACACAGAAAACCTACTACAACTCATGTTAGTAGGGGATGCTTCAGATTTACTCAAAAGATAATGTTCTGAGAAGCTGAGCATCTCCAGCATTCTCTACAACTGTACCTACCAGCTGTAGTAACTGGGCAGCACAGAGGTGGACTTTCCAGCCCTGGGCGCGACAGGATACTCCTTTCTGATTAGCTATTTCCTGCAGCATAGCTTTCTTCTCCTCTGGAATCATGTAAAAATAAGTATGTTTCAATTTTTATACAGCTAAATCATCTGTGTTCAAGCAGCCTTAGCCACAATTTTATCAATATTTCTTTACATAAATGTCTTTAAGTAATTTCTATGCATTTACATAATTAGGAAAAGGATTCGACAACACGAATAAAAGCTTTCTTTTTGTTCACTCCAAAAGACAGTTTTGAAGATCTACTACTGTTACTCTGGTGAGTTAAAGAGACCAAGTTAATATTCTAACCTCTTAAAAGAGGGGTGATGGTGTTTCGTCATTCAGACTTGCTCAATATGTGATGCTTACAAGCATGTGGAGGGTGGGACATGGGATTTTGGGAACTTTTTGTGTTATCTAGATCTGAAATCCCATGAATCAAGTGGGAATTACATTTCAAATTTGGAAGGAAAGTCCAGGGACCAGTAGTGTAATAAAGTAAATAAAAAATAGTTATCAAGGGGCTGGGGGTTTAGCTCAGTGGCACAGCCCCTGCTTGGCAAGTGTAAGGTGCTGAGTTTGATTCTCAGTACAACACCCCCCAAATTAAAAAGTTGTCAAGTCTAGAATTGAGGGATATTGTACAAACTGAGTTTAGTTCTTATTTATTCATTTTTGTCTTTTTGAGATGGGTTCACTATGCAGTTCAGGCTGGCCTTGAACTCATTTTGTAGCCCAAGCTGGTCTTGAACTAGCACGGATCCTCCTGCCTTAGCCTCCCAAGTGCCGGGATTACAGGTATGTGCTACCACACCCGGCTTAAAAAGTGAGTTTAGTTCTGTTTGTAAGGTTTTTTCTGCAGTACTGAGCCTCATGCATGCTAGGTAAGCACTATACCAGAGCTGCCTTGCCAGTTCGTTCTAGTTTTATTTTGAGATAGGCTCTTGCTAACTGCCCAGGCTGCTCAAACTGTGGCCCTCTTGCCCGCCCTCCTAGGCACTAGGGTGAACAGATGTGCACTAACATACTGAGATTTAATCACTTTTTAACCGGGATACAAGATACTCACACGTAACATGGTTAAAAATTATTTTATAAATTAATTTAAAAAAACCCTCAGATGAGTTCATCTGCCCAAACTCACAAGAGTGAAGAGTGAACCCTACTGGGTACTATAGACTCTGAGTGCTAGCAATGTGTCAATGCAGTTTTCAACAATTTTAAGAAATGTCTCACCTGTGCTGTGAAATGTCCACATGCAGGGCAGGGCAGGGCAGGCTATGTATGGGAACTATTTTCTCTTCAGTCTTGCTGTAAATCTAACATTGTCCCCCCAAAATAAAGCTAATTCATTAAAAACCCCTATCTAGTTGACAGATACTAAAATATTAGCATAAATACGATCAGAAAGGTCTTCAAGCTGGGCATGGTGGTGCATGCCTATAATCCCAGCACTCAGGAGGCTGAAGCAGGAAGATTGTTGCAAGTTAAAGGTCAGCCTGGGCTACAAAGTGAGCTCAAGGAGAGCTTAAACTGCATAGTGAGACCCTGTTTCAAGAAAGACCAAAAAAAAAAGAAAAAAAAAGTTTTCAGTACTTTGAAATAACTGCAGATTTTCATGCAGTTGTAGGAATACAGAGAAAGGGGGTGTGGTGGTACACACCTATCCTCCCACTACTCTGGGAGGCTGACAAGAGAAGAGAGTGCAGGCCTAGCCTGGTAACTTAGTAACCTATTGAGATTCTGTCTCAAAATGAAAAAATAAAAAAGGCTGGGGATGTACTTCAGCGTGAAGGCCCTGGGTTCAGTCCCCAGTGGAAGCCAGCTGTTTGTAATCCCGGCATCCTATGAGACTGACGATATAGCTCAGGGCAAAGGCCCCAGGCTTCAATCTCTAGAACTCCACAGATAGATAGACAGATGGATGGACAGACAGGAAACACAGATCTTGTGTATTCTACATCTAGCACCCTATCTCTATGGTATAATACCACAACTGTAACATTGCCAGAGCCCCCAACCTTACTCAGATTTCACAACTTCCACAGGTACTTGTATATTTCATGTACTTGTATACTTGACTATAAATCTTAGTTTTTTTTCTTTTGGAAGCTGGGCACAGTGGAGCACGCCTGTAATTCCAGCACTTGGGAGGCAGAGGGAGAAGGATGGGCCTGAGTTAATGCCAGCCTGGGCTACAAAGTGAGACCCTATGTTAAACAGAAAAAGTTTACTTTTTGGTTTGAAATAATGTCTCTTCTCTGGGATGAATCCCCAGGATTGCAATTTCTGGCTTGTATGGGGAGGGTAGGCTGTATTTTCATGACACTGCTGATCTGCCCTGCAGAACAGTTCAGCACTGCAGGTGCAAAGACTCTTGAGTGGCCACTGACCACTGTCAGGAACACCAGTGCAAACTAACAACAGCCACCAAGTAACCCTTGGGAAATGGCCTTGTGGGCAAATGGCAAATGAAGCAACATCTATGTAAGAAAATGTACTAAAATTTGGTAATAAAGATGAGTTCTGTGGTACTTGAACCTGACTGCTTTGTTCTCTGCGCTCCTGGCTCATCCAAGTCCATGAGGGTCTGTGACGCGGGGCCACCTCTCTCCAGCACCGGTTTGTTCCTGAGACAGAAGGCACCCGTGTACTCCAGTTTGGCTCAGCTACCTACAGCTGAGGGGATGTCCTAGGGAACACAACTGAGATACACACTCTTTCCCTACCCAACCCCTAATCAAGGCATACTGAGGACTCAGGCCACATGCTTCTCCCGGCTTGTGAGCAAGTGCCAGGGGGCTGCTCGTCCTCCTGTCCTCCACTGTGCGGATCTCCTGGGAAGGGCTGTCCCTCACAGAATGCGGCCAGGCCCCACACTTCTTCCTGTGCCTTGGCTTCAAGACATGCCTGCGTGGCAGGGATGGGAAGTTCTCTGCTTGAACTTCCCATCTTTCTCAGTGGACCCAACGCCTGCCTGGCAAGTGGAAGGTCCTAAGTCTGATTCCTGGTACCAAAAAAACCCCACCAAAACCAAAAAATACATCAGTGGACCTGACTGTTTGCCAGAGTTTGGAGTTCAACCCTGAAGGTGCCCCTAGTGTTATAGGCAGCTAAGTTAGGTAGGAATGTTACAGACAGTCAGGGCTGGGCCCTTAAGGAAGTCAGAACAAAAGGTGAAAAACCCACTACAGCTGTGGCTGGAGAGGCATCAGTTGGAAGCCAAGCCTCAAGACAACAACAAAAGGACCAGAATGTGGCTCAGTGGTAGAGCTCTTGCACGCAAAAATGGCTCTCCAGCATCCCCACCCTAAACAACAAAAGGACCAGACCTACATCCTCAAGGGATGAAACTAGTGATAACACCTGGTCTAGATAGGCATCAGTCACCTCAGTGGGCAACCAAGACCCTGGGAACCATCACCTATCTGAGAGGGTCTTTGTTCTTTTCATGCCTGGCTCACTATGTGACTTACTTTCCTACTGGATCAGTATTACCTAAGAAGCTAAACTTAAAATCTTACTGGCTGATCCTATCTATAACCCACTTTGTACTCACATGGGTTTTGCCCTATAAAATTTCCCTGTAAAGTGGGGTCCCCGGCTACTTATTTGGGCCCTTTGCTATTCTTCCGACAGGACCTTTCTACCCTTTCACTAAATATCTTCCTACTCTTAACCTCTGTTGTTCCTAGAATTCGTTCTTTGATATTTAGAGAACCTGAACTGGGCATATCAGACACCTAACAGGTTGAGAGTTATAATATTCCCTTATATCGTATTTGGAGATTCTGGTATCACCCCTGCAACACTAAGAACAGCGAAGGCTGTTGGGAAATCCACCAACTTGCTGAGGAACAGTCTAGACTGTTTCTAGAATAAAATAGATAGGAGGGTCTCTCCTGAAGGCAGAAAAAAATCTGGACACTGACCTCAAAATCTTTACTGCTCAAGAAACTGCACTTCGCCTGGGTTATAGAGGGAGTTGTACATCACAGCACTGGGACAAAAGCTGCGAAAGCAGCTAGAAATGAACAGCTTGATGAGATGGATATGAGCAGGGAAGAATGGACAAGAGCCTGTAGAGCCACTGTCATCTCAGGTGCCTGGCATGTCCACAACTGCAGCTCCCTAAGAAGCGTTATCAGGGATTAAGGCAGTGCTTAGCATCACTACATAAACCGAGCCCATCACCAAGCAAACAAGTAGATAACAGCACCAGGCCCAAGAGATGAATACTGAATGCTGCTTCAGTACATTACCTAAACTGTTCAATTTCCAAAAAAGAATTACAGGGCAGGAAAATATGACCCATACTCCTAAAAGAAAGCAGGCAACAGAGATTGCCTATGAGAGTGGCCAGATATTCAAATTTAACTCAAAAAGGGGTTTTAAATACCCTGAAGAAAGCATGATGGGAGAACTTAGGGGACAGTGACACATGAATACAGAGCATCATTTAAAGAAAACAAAAGAGAAACTGCAAAAAAAAGAACCGAAGTGAAAATTCTGTAGTCAAAAAGTACAAAAACAGAAAGTAAAAATTTCATTAGGGTTCAACAATGGATTTGAAGTGGTGTAACTGGCACACTGTCAGTGAACATCATGGGCAGGGTAGGGAGCTAATGGATGAGTGCCTGTGTAGTATGTGAGGCCCTGGGTTTGATCTGCAGCACTGCCAAATAAAAAACATACTTAGCAGATGTGTGATGGGTATATCAAAAGAAGACATAAACCAAAAAATGAAATAGCTAAAGAAAAGAGATGAAAACTCAAATTAATTTAAACATAGCCGAGGTTATAGCTCAGTGGCATAGTGCTGCCTGGCAAGCACAGGGTCCTGGAGTTTGATTCCTGGTACAAAAAAAGTGTGTAGAATAACCTAACTACAAAGCTAAACAGTACAAGGAACTACAAGTGTGACAAATGCAAAGGGAACCACACACACACACACACTTCAAGGTAAAACTGCCAAAAATCAAAGACAATAAAGAAATCTTCAGAGCAGGAAAAGGAAAAAAACAAAACAATATAAAAAAACCCACACATCATTTACAAGGGCTCCTCAAATACTATGAAAAACTGACTTCTCAACAGAAACAATGGAGCTGGAAGGCAGTAGAACATTCAGAGAGCTCAAAGCCATGCACAGGGATCTAGTTTCTCCATACCCTCATCAGCAGCATTTCCCATTAACTCGTCTCTCTCTCTCTCCCTCCCGCCACCTCGCCCTCTCTCCCCTTCTCCCTCTCTTCTTCTCTCTCTCCTTCTCCCCCTCTCCCTCTCTCTCCGCCCCTCCCTCTTGCCACAAAGGAACTCTACCACTGAACTATATGCCCATCCTGTTACTTTTTTTCTCTTTTTTGGTACCAGGAATCAAACTCAGGGCTTTGTGCTTGCCAGGCAGGCGTTGCGCTGGTGAGCTACATCCATGGGCCACTATACTTTTTATTTCACATTTTTATTTTTTTTACTTCACATTTTTAAAAGGTGCAGTGTAACATCTCATTGTGTTTTCATCTGCATTTCCCTAGTGGCTATGATGCTGAACATTTTTTTGTGTGTGTGCTAGGGACTGAACCCAGAGCCTCACATATATTAAGCAAGTGAGGTATATCCCTAGCCCTACTGATTTTTTTCCTGTAAGGGCACAGAACCTAATTTGTGTGTGTGTATGTACTGAGACAAGTCCATGAATAGACAATAAATGACAGAGTGTTATATAGTCAACAAAGATTTATCAAGCACCTAGTGTATTTTTTGTTGTTGTTGGTCAGGAATTGAACTCATGACCTCGCACTTGCCAGGCATACCCTATGCCGCTGAGCTATATCCTCCGCTTTTTTTTTTTTGTCATTTTGAGACAGAGTCTCACTATGCAATTCAGGCTGGCCTTGAGCTCACTTTGTAGCCCAGGCTGGTCCTGAACTCGCAATGGACCTCCTGCCTCAGCCTCCCGAGTGCTCGGATTACAGGTGTGTGTCACCATGTCTGGCCAAAGATAGGGTCTTGCTACATAGTGCAGTTCAGGCTGGGCTTGAATTCATTATGTAGCCCAGGCTGGTCCCAAACTTGTGGCAATCCTCCTGCCTCAGGCTGCTGAATGCTGGGACTATACCACCACGCCTGGCTGAATATTCATTTATTTTTAAAAGAAATTTTATTGTCATGTTCGGTTCCAGGATCCTCCAGACTCCATTTACATTTACTTGTCATTGCCTCTTTAGATTCATTTTGCTGTGGTTACTTCTCAGCCTTTCTGGTCAGGGTTTCTTCTGAACCTTACAGCTCTGAAGAGTAATGGTCAAATACTGTTTGACATCCCTTGATGAAAATTCATGATGTTGAGTTCAAGGGGAATAGGAAGAGGACAGGGAAGGGGAAGGAGGAGGAGAAGAAGAAGAGGAGACATCCTACCATCATACCATGCCCTGTTTTTCTCAGGATTAGGGCTGGAGTTACGGGTTTGTGGCAGTGAACTGAACCTAGGGCCTTGTGTCCAACAACAGGTTGACAGTATTTGAAAAATGAGATCAATCTACAAATAATGCATGCAGACCTTTTTCCTAAATAATAAAGAATACTGACTTTTTGCGTAGCAGATAGTATTAGCTACTACATGTAAACTAGAGATGTCTAAGTATGCAGGACGATGCACACGGGCTTCATGCAAATACCAAGGCATCTCACATAGAGGACAGAAACCTCCATGGATTTGGTATCTGTGCAGTCAGAACCAACTCCTCACGTACACTGAAGAACAGTTGTGGGGAAGAACAGCTGGGAGTGCAGCCACCTCTGCATTTCAGAGAGCCCAAGCTGTCAGCACTTTGCTATATGGTCACTGACATTCAACAGTACCTACCCAACCCGGACCAGCCAGAAGCCTCTAGGAACAGTGTCCAAGTTGAATTTATATAAAAAAGAATGGGAAGTGTGACCAGCTCTTTGGAAATTCCCAGTTCCTCGGGTGTTGACTGTATTTGAGATGAAAGACACCAAAGTCCATCTGGAGAAATAGTAACCAAGTTTCTGCAAGGTGTTATCAGCTATTTTCATTATATGTGGGTTTGTAAAATGTCACTTTCACGTTCAACAATATGCTTATTAAAGACTTGCCCCAGACCTTTCCAAGAGCTTCATATGTGTTAAAAATAAAAGGCCATTTGGAAACAAATGTTTATGACATGTCTACACATTAGCATCCTATCAATAACAATCCAGTACCACTCTCCCACAACCATTCTTGGGATTAAGATCATTTTGTAAGCACATATGGATTTTTACCCAAACCAAGGTTGTGTCCTTCAATTATTCATTAGACTAAGATTCCAACAAATACATATAGGCAAAAGGTACTTTTCCAAATTTTATATTCAACAGGGTATTTCACTTAAACACTTTGCCTCAAGATTTTAAAACAAAAATTGTGATCCTCCCTTCTTCCTTTCCTTCCCTTCCCGTCTCTTCTTTTTGCAGTGGTGGAGACTGAACTTAGGGCCTGTCACAGGCTACGAAGGTGTTCTGCCACTGAGCTACACCTATGATTTCTGTTTTTTCTTTTCTGCTGTGATTATAATACAGCCCAGGGTATAGCAATTTCATGTGTTAATACTGGACACTAACCTTTGACGCGGACGTCACTATACCTCTGAAAGTGGTGGTAGGCAGCTTTCCAAGGGTTCCGGTAGTGACGAAGCAAAGTAATGGGAGGTCTTGGACGAACTGGGACATACCTCACACCTTCTTCATCTATTCAATGGGCAAAAAAGAAGGCATTAAATATACTGTTACACATTCCCAACAAACCATGACGTTTAATTCCAACATGAGGGTTTTAAGTGACTAGGGAACACCTCTGGGTGTCTCCAGGCTTCAGGGAAGTGGCAAGTGGCATAGTGAGCCTAGAGCCATTGAGGCATTACCAATATACTCCTTGGGCGGAGACTTGCGCTTCTCGGCCTTCACCAGCAGACTCTTGGCAGTGGACTTCTCATCATCAGTGCTATTCGTCTCCATCATGTCCCCTTCTTCTGTTGAGATCACGTGCTGCTGTTTCCGAGGCTTCTTCCTCGGGGAGGCACCAGGTGGTAGGTCACTTGGAGGCATGGACAGGTTGTTTGCCAGCAACGCAAGAGACGGAGACACAGTGTTGGTGGCCAGTGGAGGAACTGCTGTCAGGGAAAACGGAGCACAGACACCTCTGAGAACCCAGGTATAACGGGAAGCTTCACTTGATTCCCAGCAACAACAAGCAAGAGGACAGTACAGATAGCCAGCACTCTAGCTGAAGTGGAGGTTGCCAAATGCTTCCTAATGCTCCACAGCTTCCTATGCTTAGTTCTAGGGTCCTCATTTTGGTGTGGTACCATGTCACTCTGCTGAAAGAATGTAGTACTTAGCCTTTGTTAAAGTGTGCTCTGATAAGACAGAAGTAGGAGTGTTTAGGGAGTTTCCTCAGATGTGAACCAGGTGATACAGTGCACACCTTAATCCCAACAAGGGAGGCCAAGTCAGGAGGATTGCAACATCACAAGACCCTGTCTCAAAAGATAAAAAGGACTGGAGATGTACCTCAGTGGTACAGCTTTCTTGTGTTTGATCCCTAATACCCTCCTCCACGATCCAAAAAAAGAAAACGAAGATGTCATCTTCTCTTCCTTGATTTCTTTCTGTGTTCCAGGGTGTAGCTATGATGGCCAGAGCCGCAGCACCTGCTCTGAATCAAGAGCATGAAGATCAAACCCTACAGGCTGTGTGTGGAGGACCACTGGGACAACTGTCCTTGAAAGAGGACCATTTGTTTCCATTTTGGCTAAACCTGGCCCTAATCCTATGTATTGATAAATACAGATCTGGCTAGGCTAATACTCTACCCCCTCAATTGGCTTTAAGCAATGCAAATGGGTCTAACTGAGGCGCTGATGCATAGCCTATGAAACAATGTGACAGGTCAGTGATGCTCCACCTATGGCTTGCAACTAGTATGTGTGAGCGAGGCCAAGTGACACCACACTGGCCGCACTGTTGGAGGCTCAAGAAAGAGCCCGTGAAGTCTCAGGGCATGAAGGCTATACATCAAAGTTGAAGCACTGACTAAAAACACAAGGTACTTCCTCAAACTGTCATGCAGATTCCTCCAAACTCAGGGGCTACCTACTACCATACCTCTCCCTGCATATTGCAGAGGTGCTATTGTGCCACTTACCTAAACCAGCTCACAATACTCAGTACTTCTTGCCACTCTCACAGTCACTCAACCCTAGCCACTCCCCTTTCACAAATTAATAAAACCTGGGTTCAGCCCTGGATTGAGGTCTTGGCTCCAGTTAGCCATTGTTCTGACTGGCTTAGAACACACTTGGCTCCCTATAACTACAGATACGTGTTTGTCTCTTTATTCTGGCCAGAGGTTGCACCGGAAGTGGTAGATCGGAATTTACTTGCTAGAATTCCAATAACTTTTCCCTAGGGTTACAAATACAGACTCCTCCAGACTATGATGAGGCTGGCAGAACAGGCTCTTTAGTTGTGGGGTGAAAGATGAAGGAGCTGGATCCCTAATGATCTGATGAAGTCCACACACTATTCTTGGACTGTCCTCTCAGGGCTCACTTCTAGGGAGATAAAACCTCACATGTGTAAGTCACTACTCATCTGGACTTTAAACCAATTCCTAGCAGGTACCCAATTAACTGACAATCTTTAAAAAAGCAATCAGAACAAGCACACATTACTTTTATCCTCTGTGACAGCTAAGGTGGACCATCAACCTGATTAGCTTGGGAACCACTTAGGGCAATGATGTACCTGCGCTGCAGATGCACATGCGCTGCAGTGGCATGCACAGCCCTCTCTGTCTGCAGATGTACTCAGTCACTATGTTATTTTTCTAAACTAAAACCTCAGTATTCAGGTTTAACTGCAGTGTTGGCACTTTGTGATAAATAACCAGGTTTTGGGTTGCAGTTTGGGCCTTGGTTATATCCTTGCCCTGGAAAAATAACCAGGTTTGGGTTGCAGGTTTTGGGTTGCAGTTTGGCCTCTGAAAGGCTCGCCATCACTGCCTTAGGAGATGAGTAAAGCACACTTGTGGATGTGTTTCAGTGGTCACCAAAGTGCAACCTTGGCTTTGGTATCTGATCCCTGTTCCCCTGAGCTGCTTAATGAAGCAGTTTTGCTCTGTCACCCGATTCCACTATGATGTTCCTCTTTGGAGCCATCTGACCATGGACTGAATCCTCTTTAAACCATGGCCAAATTAAACCTTTCCTCCTTTTAAACTGTGGGTGATACGTACTGTATCCCAGTAACAGGAAGGCTAACCAATACAACTCCCATTCAAAGATAAGGAATATGTGGCATGCCAGGTGTGGTGGTGCACACCTGTAATTCCAGCACTCAGTAGACTGAGACAGGAGATTGCTGTGAGTTCAAGGTCAGCCTGGGCTACACAGTGAGACACTCTCAAAAAAAAAAAGGATGTGGCATAGGCCATATACATGTGAAGGGGCAGAGTTGGGAGATGGCAGAAGTAGCCTAGCTTGAGAGTCTGCACTGTTAACTACCACAGTACACCATGTTCAGCTAGAAAGCATGCAGAGAGGGGAAGTAAATTGTAGTTTGCTAGGACCACATTTCTAGGGACTTACAAATCATGCTAAAGGCTCGCCAACTCTTGTTTTCCTTCTACCATGTTATCTGCCCCATCCTTCTCCTCTATTCATCCTCAGCTACCCACTCCCTACACCAGTGATGGTGAACCTTTTAGCAACCAGTCCCAAACTGCAACCCAGAGCCCACTTATCTATTGCAGAGTGCCAACAATGCAATGAAACCTGAATACTCAGGTGTAGCTTAGAAAAAATAACTCTATATCAACATCTTTTGCCTTAAAAGAAAAACAACACGTATGCTATAGGTTCACCATCACTGCCCTTCACTGTTATCAACAATAACTGCAATTGGCTTCACACTCATCTCAACTTCTCGCTCCCAAATTTTCAGCCAAAACCAACTCCCTAGGTCACTCCTGTTAGCCAAATTCCAACAATGCTTTGACCCTACTAGAGATGCTTGCCCATCTATCCTTCCCCTTTTCTGCTGTCAACTATCCCTTTCATGGCTATTCTCTTTCGCTGGCAGATTCAAATTCTACATTTTACTCAATTTATCCCTTGGTCCTTTTTCTTGCTTTGCTAATAACCTCAGCAAAAGCAGGAGAGGTTAAACACAACTTTCCAATGGGCCTACACTGATGCACTGAAGGTAGCTAGACTGAGTGCACAGCAATGCTGGCTCTTCTCACTTGGGAATCCTACCATGTTTGCTAGGCCCACTTCCTCCCTGGATGATTATTTTACTCTTTCTCAACTGCTCTTCCCTCACCTATACTCTTAGTGATCTTGCTTCTATTTTACTGGAAAAGAAATGATCAGAAGGCTGTGTTCATGAAGATTCCCCTCCTCCAATGTGTCTTTTCCCTCCTCCTCAGACATTGCCTGTCTTGGTTATTTTTCTCTTGTTGCTAGAACGAAATACCTGACACCCCAATTTTTTTTTTTTTCAGACAGGGTCTCGCTGTGCAGTTCAGGCTGGCCTTGAGCTCACTTTGCAGCCCAGGCTGGCCTTGAACTTGCAATGATCCTCCTGCCTCAGCCTCCCAAGTGCTGGGATTAAGGCGTGCGTCACCACGCCTGGCCTGACACCCAAAATTAAGGAAGGAAAGGTTTATTTAGCTTACAGTTTGTGGAGGTTTCAGTCCATACTCAGCTGGCTCCAAGGCAGCAGAAGAGAGCAAAAACAAGAGCAAAAGGGAGAAGAAGCAGCAAGCAAGCCTCTTTCACTCCCTTATATTGTATGCAGGCTGCCTGCCTCAGGGTGGGTGTAGCACTCACACCCATAATCCCAGCACTCACACCTATAATCCCATGGACCATGAGTGCAGCACTCACACCCATGATCCCAATGGACCATTAGTCAATCAAAAACTCTAGAAGCCTGCCCCATGACTGCATGAGGCTTTAGGGGGATATCTAGACACAAACCATAACATTCCGTCCCTGGCTCCCTAAAGACTCATGTACATCCCTTTATGCAAAAGGCATTTAGTCCATCTCCAAGAGTTGCCAAAGTTCTAACAGTTTCAGCATTGCTGAAAAGTCCAAGTCCAAAGTCTCCTCCGAGATGTAAGGCAAACTCTTAGCTATGAGCCCCTGTACAAATGAAAAGAAAGTCATATACTCCCAACATTCAATGGCACAGATAAACATTTCCATTCTAAAAGGTACAAACAAGAAGATATAAAGCATTGGGACCAAAGCAAGTCCAACATTCAGCAGGACAAACATTAAGTCCTGTAGCTCTGTGCGGAACATACGAAACAATCTGTGGCAAATTGTGAGCTCCAAAAGCCTTGTGCGGCCCTGCCCCTACAGCACTTCTGGTGGTTATAGCTCCCAGGGCTGGCCCGCTCTGTTTAATCCTTACAGTTTTCCTTAGATGATCCACATTCCTGGTTTTTCCAAACTTCTGGGTTCTCCACTATACCTCTGGCTTCACACCCGAAGCTTCACACACTGCCCTCTCAGCAGCACACTGCCTGGCCTCCCAGGCCTTCTTCTGAAATCTAGGTAGAAGCCTTTTTAACCTCAGAACTCTTACATTCTACATGCATCTAACCAGCACCACATGGATGATGCCAAGGTCTGCTGCCAGCTGGAGCAGTAGTCACACTTTCCTCTCTCTTGGCTGTAGGGGTCCAGTGCCTAGATTGCTGAGTTCTCTGAACCTGATTCTGAAGAAAAAATTCTCCATGCCACTGCCATTCTGGAATATGGCGCCCTGTGGCTTTCTCCTCAAAGCAAACTTTTCCACTTTTGCAAGTTTGAGGCTGCAAAGCACGGAGACTTGCAGCTTCTTGTGATGCCCTCAGGCCATGTTTTCTATTCTGTTCCTTCTCAGCAATCAAGATCTCCTCAGCTCTATCTTTGTAGTCCACAGCTTTACTGGAGCTTTTTTCCTGGTCAAACTCACATTTTAAATCATCTTACTGGGCTCTTTGCTCTTGATTCTCAACATAAATCTGGCTAAAAGCCCCCGAGAACAGTCATGTCATTGCCTCAACATTCGACTATGCCTTGAAATTTCTTTTGCCAGCTTACTTAGCCCACTG